AAAACTTGTTTACTTAGTGTCTGAACAAATTAACGGTGGGTGCTGGTCTGTTATAACTATCTGCTCTCATTATTACAACCATAACAGAAACATTTTTGTTGTATTTCCAATAACTGGTCTACAGGGGTGGTAGTAACTAGATTTGATGAGTAAATAGTTACTTTTTGACAAAAAAAAAAAAATGCTTTTAGGATTAGTTTTACAGCACTGTACTTTTAACTTTGACTAATGTAAAACCTTGCTTTATAATTTTGTCTAATTACCAGACAAGCTGTTTCTTTTTTTGTTGTTTTTTTTTGTGTGTGTTATTGTTACAGTGCTCCATACTTTTTTGGGCAAAAGTTTACTTGATCCTATTGTGGAATTTGGAGGAGAAGCTAACATAAAGTTAGGAGTCAATATTGTCAGTTGAGCTTTTGTAGGTGTTTTTGTAAAAAAGAAAAAATTTCTTGGAAAAGTGTTTCTTCTACATGGAGTCGTAATTCTTCATTATTCTTTTTTATCTTCATAGTTACATTATTTTTTGGTTTTAATGATTTTATTATAGACTTTAAAGCTACAGTGTGTAACTTTTAGCGACATCTAGCGGTCAGACTGCAGACTGCAGCAACATGAACATCTCCCCCACACCGCTTCTCCCCCCCCAACAGTACGGCGAGCGTTATGGGACAAAATGTCTTCCACGACGTCCGCATCACCTACCTTCTCAAGTGATGAGGTTTGTTTACATAGATAATTTTACAGATAGTATTTCATTAGTCTGTGTAGGGTATAGATTTCATGTAGACTTAAGATAATAAATATACCCGTTATTTTTTCTACATCGTTGTGACGTTTTGGCGATCTCGCAATCGCTAGTTTGTTGGCTTTGCGCTGCCGTAGTGCAAAGATGTCTGCCTCCATGGCTTCGAGACCCGCTCCTATGTAATTATAAATAACGAATTCTAAGGCAACGCAAATATTAAGGTTAAGAGGCTGAGCTCGTAGATGATGATAAATAACATGGTTATGTATAATATATTACATTTCTGACTGTATATCCCTGTAATTATTACACACTGTAGCTTTAAAATACCAGAAATGGCAATACTTGAGTAACTTTTTTTTTTCACTAAATACTTTTTAAACTCATACTTGAAAAATTTCTTTGATGGTGACTATTTTGTTTTCCTAATATGACTTAGTATTCCTCCAACCTGAGAATAATCTTCATGTACTCTAAACACCTCTGTTGGTCTTACTTTGTCATTTCCCTTTTTGTTATTAAACTTCAAACGTGCCTTTAATGATGTAATGAGTGGAAAGAAAGACTAACAGCAAAAAAAGAGACATTTGAGCTGCACTCAAGATCTTCTCTTTTGTTTTGATGTAGTTAATATCAACTAATATCAACTTATCATCACACCTGAGACGTGTTTTAGTATTTTTATATGAAATCTTAGGAGAGGGATTTAGAAAACAAATGGAGTAGAAATACATTTATAGCCTTTTGGAATATTTTTGTTGTTTTTTTCTTTTTGTAATCCGGACTGTTCCTTCTTTAAATGAGATGAAAACTTTATTTTATTTTATGAAAACCAGAGAAGAGCATATTCAACGATTTTCTTTGTATTAAGAGCATCACAGAATTTAAAGAAGCTTAAAAAAACATTACAATAAAGAAAAACCTGAACCCCTTTTAGGGCAAATTACCATTTTTTTATCACTAGCATACCCCTTACAAATGGAGTCCCCCCCCCCCCCCCATTGATATTACTTTTTGCCATAAAAATATCCATATTTTTTAATGTTGCAAAGCTAATAATGTTTTAACCTAGATTCCAATAACAATATTGGCTTGAAATGTTGATTTTCAAAGTATTTCACTGAGGGCCCTATAAAGGGTTAAGTATTCTACTTAAAATAACACTGTTACCTGAGAAAGATTTACTCCATATTTAATAAGTTTGAAGTTTTGATATTCCCACATCAGTTGAGCTAAAATCCCTCCTACTAGTATACCTAATATCGTTTCGTTTTGTGAGCTGGATGTTTCGTTGCACCTCCAGTATTAAATGTGTTGGAGCCATTACTCTGAACTCCGTCCGTCTGTTTTTTCGAGCTTTCTGTAATTGCGCTACGATCATAATGCCGTTCACAGCTCCCTCCACTCATCTGCAAACCATTACCATTATTATTTCCACACACAGGCATAAGAGAGAGAAAGACATTTTGCCCAGGCTCCCTTACCTTCCTTGTGGGAGCAGGATTTACAGTGTTAATGTGCCGCATGCCACGCTCTGTGAAAGGAATTAAAGAGTTTGAGACGGCACCGAGTGAAGTAAAACAGAAAGCAGGGGATTCTTCTTGCAGGCTTTGATCGTAGACACATTTTCTTAGGCTCAGCTGGATTTGTTTCCCTGAGTTAAAACCAAAGCCAAGTCTGAAGCTGAATGTGGGTTGAAGCGCTGCATCGTGGGCCTGAGTGTCCAGAAAGGCACCATTTTAGCTGTAATGGAGAAAAGGAAGGAGCATTGTTTAGGATTCTGGGGGATCAGCTAAATCAATATTGTCCCTATGTTCTCAGGAGATGTCCCATCCAATTAAAGTGTAGTTTTGATGCTGCATGACTTCCTCTGTATTCTTTCTTTGGTTCCTTTCCCAAACACTATTCTTACAGAGTTTAGTATTTAATTTACTAAGAATGTAGCAGGAGAAGATCTGAAGATATACTGGTAACATTATATTCTTAAATGGACATTTTTAAGTGAGGTTCTGTTAAGAGTATTTTCTATCTTTACCACAGTAAAAACCTTTTTTCGGGTTTTCATTTAGTATAGATCTAGATTAAGGGTCCTTTGAGTCTGAAGCTGCCAGCAAGGCGAGCAATAACAGAAACCAAAGCAGAATCCTTACCATGGAAACATCTAAGTTTA